TTCATCGATATGGTCGAGGGCCAAACCAATGGCGCATGCTTCAGCAGAAAAGATGGAGGCGCCGTCTGGTAGTCGGACTGAAGTGCAAGTATTGGCAGTACAGCAGGCTGCTGCCACTTTCTCACCTTCTTTGGAGCCATCGGTGTAAAGTTGTGTATGAGAAGGGTAATTCGAAATGCATTCCCGAAAGGAGGATTTGTGTTCTTCGGGCATAACACTTGATTTCCCTCGCTCATGTAATGTAAAGTTAAAATCGGGGGTTTGAATGGTCCACGGAGGAACATCAGATATGTTAAATTCAGCTATGTCCGTCAATTTTATGTTGAGTTCTTGCAGGAAATTCAAAATTCGGATACCAAATGTTGGCAGAAGTTTTTGGTTTTGCGTAAATATGTTTTGGTATTTGGGGTTGAATACTTGGTTGAAAGCAGGATTTTTAGGGTTTGATTTTAATTGAGTTGCAAATTGTAATGAAAGTTTTATTCTTCTGTCATAAAGGGATGGTTCATTTGCTTCCACGTACAGGCTTTTTACAGGTGTTGTTCGAAAAGCTCCCAGGGCAAGACGTAGCCCTTGGTTATGGATTGGATCTAGCATCTGAAGGTACGAACTGCGCGCTGACCCGTATACCATAGAACCATAATCCAGTTTTGTTCGAATAAGTGATCTGTATAGGCGCAAAAGCATTTCACGATCCGCTCCCCAATCAGTATGAGAAAGGACTCGTATAATGTTTAACGCCTTGGAACACTTATCCTTCAGATACTTTATATGTGGTATGAAAGAGAGTTTCGAATCAAAAATGAGGCCGAGAAATTTAGTCTGTTCAACAACAGGAATTCTAGTGCCATCGAGTGTTAGATTTGGGTCATTGTGTGCTTTTCGTTTTTGACAGAAATGCATGCACACAGTTTTGGATTTAGAGAATTTGAAGCCGTTTTCGTCTGCCCAATTTTGTAGTTTGTTTAAACTCTGTTGAAGTTGTCGTTCTATCGTGTGCATGTTCTTAGATCTGTAACAGATCAAGAAGTCATCCACAAATAACGACCCTTCTGTTGATTGACCAAGACATTTGACTATATCATTGATTTTAAGACCAAACAGTGTGACTGATAGGATTCCACCCTGTGGGACTCCCATTTCCTGTTTAGACGTTTCAGAAAAAGTTGAACCAACACGGACTTTGAAGTGTCTATCTGATAGGTAATTAGATATAAAATTGGGAAGGTTTCCACGTACGCCAAGGTCGTGAAGATCTTTCATGATGCCATACTGCCATGTAGTATCATAGGCCTTCTCAAGATCGAAGAACACAGCGACAAGGTGTTCTTTCTTGGCGAAAGCCTCTCGAATGAACGTCTCTAATCTGATGAGATGGTCATTTGTCCCTCTTCTATTTCTAAAGCCACTTTGAAGAGGGGATATTATATCGTTGGCCTCAAGAAACCAAACCAGTCTAGTGTTTATCATTCGTTCTAAAGTTTTACATACACAACTAGTCAGAGAGATAGGACGATAGTTGTTTGGGTCAGTAGCATCCTTTCCCGGTTTTGGGATAGGTATAATTGTGGAGTTCTTCCACGAATCGGGAATCTTTCCGGAAGCGTAAACTTGGTTGAATATGTAAAGAAGGCATGTTAGTGAAGAGTCCGGTAAGTGCTTTAGAAATTGATATGGAATATCATCAGGACCTGAAGCAGTGTCCTGTGATTTTCTAAGCGAATCAACAAGTTCTGGTAGGGTAAATTGTTCATTATAACTTTCTTTGTTTGATGATTTGAAATTGAGCCGTTTCTTTTCTCTCTTTTTTTTCAAAGACTGGAATTTTTGGGAGTGGTTTAAAGGGGATGAGTTTTTAGCTATGTTTTTTGCAAATGCATCAGTAATTTCAGTCATAGACGATTTTTTTTTTATCAATGAGCTGGGAGGATGTTGCCTTTTTCTTTTTCCCACTTATTTTCCGAATCATATCCCATACTTTTTTTGAGGACGTGTTTGATGATATCTTGGATACATATTCTCTCCAGCTGTTTCTTTTGTCAATTTTAATTGATCGCCGAGCCTTTGCCCGCCAAATTTTAAATTCAGTGTACCTCTCTATTGTATACAGTACAATGGACCTCTCTATTATACAGTACAATGTACCTCTCTATTGTAAACCGTACAATGGACCTCTCTATTGTATACAGTACAATGTACCTCTCTCTCTCTCTATTGTATACAGTACAATGTACCTCTCTATTGTATACCAGACAATGGACCTCTCTATTGTATACCATACATTGTTCCTTTCTCTCTATTGTATACAGTACAATGTACCTCTCTCTATTGTATACAGTACAATGTACCTCTCTCTCTCTCTCTATTGTATATACAGTACAATATACCTCTCTCTCTCTCTATTGTATACAGTACAATGTACCTCTCTCTCTCTCTATTGTATACAGTACAATGTACTTCTATCTCTCTCTATTGTATATACAGTACAATGTACCTCTCTCTCTCTCTCTCTCTCTCTATTGTATACAGTACAATGTACCTCTCTCTCTCTCTATTGTATACAGTACAATGCATCTCTCTCTCTCTCTATTGTATATACAGTACAATGTACCTCTCTCTCTCTATTGTATACAGTACAATGCATCTCTCTCTCTCTCTATTGTATATACAGTGCAATGTACCTCTCGCTCTCTCTCTCTCTATTGTATATACTGTACAATTTTCCTCTCTCTCTCTCTATTGTATACAGTACAGTGTACCTCTCTCTCTCTCTCTATTGTATATACAGTGCAATGTACCTCTCTCTCTCTCTCTCTCTATTGTATATACTGTACAATGTACCTCTCTCTCTCTCTATTGTATACAGTACAATGTACCTCTCTCTCTCTCTCTATTGTATATATACAGTACAATGTACCTCTCTCTATTGTATACCGTGCAATGTACATTTTGTATTTATGATTAAAATTCATTCAACAGAACCTGTTAAAAGATTTTAAAACATTTAACCCCTGTGACCTTGAAAGTCGAACAAGGTAATTAAGTTGAACAAATTTGTGACTGCGACTGCGAAAATGGGGCCAGATGAGGTAAAATCAGAAATTGAGATTTTGATGTTTTCTGAAAGCCAACAATGTGAGAAATAAAACCCCAAAAATATTAGTTACAAATCTTTAACCATTGTGGAGAAAATCAAGATTATGCAACATGTAATTTGAACAAAAACACAAAATCAAATAATGATATACACACGACTGTATTTTATTCAACATCACAGTCATGTAACGTTTATGTAATTACAAGGTAGAATTAAATAAAACTAAGTTAAATATATTCAAAACAGTTTACAACTGCAAAATATGATATGTATTGTTTATTACCACTATCAACAGAATATATTGAAATTATTTATAATAATTGGAGATAACTGAAGATAAACTTAATAGTAGAAACATTGAAAATACAAAGTTCATAACTTTGTCTTAGTCTCACAATGGTATACATATGTATTAGCCAATCTGTTTATTATGATCCTACAAATTTCTGAATGGTTGAGTTAAAAAAAGTATATAGGTACATGTATTAGCTAACAGGATTGACAAATAATACATTTGAAAAAAAAAAAAATATTCATATAGGCAAATACCACCGAAGAAGGTTAACTATAAAGGGTGTTATTACATGACATGGTGCTAATTCCCAGCCCTGATTGGAGGGGCGACGTCACGTGACGAGTCTGTAAATATGTTACAGACCTCGTTCTATAAATAGAAAAGTGTTACAAACCTCAAACTAGAAATAGAAAAGTGTTACAGACCGCTACTAAAAATAGGCCGAGGTAATTTCCCAGCCAGTCTGTAAATCTGTTACCATTCACAATACTGAATTCAAATACAAATGAATTATCTCATCAAATTCTGAACTATTTTAATATTGATGATGTCAATTGTTCAAATAATATTTACTTGAAATTAAATATCACATGAATTGAATCTGAAATTCAATTTTTGTTTATGTTATTTTGTATTTGAAGTCCTACACTCTGTGATTCCAAAATGGTCCATGCCATCCATGTGCTTATGCCATGAAAAATTATTAATCTTATCGTGAAATGTCATATAATAAAACAAGTGTGGACTTCAGTTTCGGTCTATCCCTGATTTACGAACTTGGTCTGAACAATATTCACAGAGGCCGAATAGACCTCACCTGAGTCCATAATTGTATAATAATCATTTGATTCATAAATTTTTTGAAATCACAATTCTTTTTTGCATTGCTATAATAATTGTCATTCAACTATTATCTTTTAATTACCAAAGTCAGGTTGGTAGACTCACTGAAGTATTTAAAATACTCAGCTCTAGCAACATTAAGATGAATTCGTCATATAGAATATTCAATAAAGGGAGATAAACCACAGTCACATATCATTTTTGGGGGAAATGCTGATATACACAGTTTGCAACATTCTCATTTCATTGTAGCGAAATAAGTGATTGATCTTGGATTTAGAACAATTTTGAATATATATATGTTTGCCACACAGGCAGGTCAGATACTACTTACTAGTAATGTAAAATATTTTGAATTATAAATTCCAATACACACACATGATACAGCAACACTATTTTTGGAATAGTCATCTCTTTTGACTTAGGTCTCTCAATATATTAGTGGCACATTTTCAAACATTATAAATTACCCAAATAATGCAAGTTAAATTGCAATGTCACATCAACATTGCAGTTACATAAAATCATTGCAAAATAACAAAAATGGATCATATACATAATAGAAAGAATTTCAAACTTGTTCCTATTGCACATGATCATGTATTGTTACATATAATATTCACGAAACTGAAGATTGTTTCATAAAACTTAGTATGTAATTTATTATGAGAATGAGTTACATATCTTCTAACGTCACAGTATCCAATGCGGATCCCTATTATTGTGACGTTATATCTGTAATCCAAACAATTCTGGGTTTTTTTATAGATTAAACTTGCACAATGACGCACATTTCAGTAGTTTGATAGTCATAGTAAGGGTTTATCTCAACAGTAGACCTTTTCGCTTACTAGGATGATTTGGTATCTCATTAGTTTCATCAACATTGACTTCTGACTTTGGTACAACTGGTTTCAGACATGTACTGTTCTTTGAGCATTCTGACTTACAGAATTCTCTAATGTTATCAAACAAATACCACTGACGTGATGGGTCAAGTCCTACTGACACTTTTTCAACTGGCACATCATTCACAGAGGGCAGGATGTCTTCGCATTTCAGTAGATTAATGGATACAGTGGGCGAGTCACAAAGTTCCTTGCACAAAACTGTCCCTGGTTTAGTAGAATCTACTATGAAATGATGATAACTCCTAAGGTTCTTTAAAGGCTTAAAATATTGTTTTAAATACGTCTTCCAGTCTGTGAACTTAATGGGTTTGTCATCATCTTGCACCAACTGGGGGATGTTATGTCCATTTCGTGACGATTTCATTACTGATAGGGCAACTTCCTGCAGAGTTTCCACATCACTTGATCTCCAGCGCAGCTTCCACACACCGAAATGCCAGTCTGGATCAAACTTTGTGTGACCAGCTATCATCA